CCCCGGTGCGCCCCCCCCGAAGTGACCTAACACCGTCATTTCTTTCCGCAGTCAAATCAGGACCGTTCCGAGCTCTGCTGGGCCTCACCTCAGCTTTCCTTCCGCAGCCGCGTTTCTAACCTGCGAGGGGGAAGCCTTGCAGCGGGGCTGAGCGCACATCACGTTCGCCTGCAGGCCGGCTTCTGGGGAGCGTCCCTTCGGAGAGGGCCCGCTCGCTCGTTCGGCTTCGCGCCCCGCTCCAGAGGTAGGAGGCGAGGAGGGAATCACTCAGCTCTCTCTACTTTATTACGCAACTTTGGGGGGTGGTGGTGGGGGAACAGTAACGCTCAAGGACCAATTTGATGGCAACTCGAGACCAAAAACGCAACGCGGGGCCCAAATCATTTGAGTGTTATTTAATACATTAGGAAAATTGAACTTCAAAATGGAGGTGATGCTCTGGGAATCACAAGAGGCCAAAAGCAAAGCTGAGCGTCCTAACACTTTTATCCAGTGCTCAGCTGGAGCTGTAATCACTCTCTGAAGCCTTCAGCGTTAAATTACGCTTCACAGTATTTCCAGGCACGCAGATAACACCCAAAGACATCCTCACAAAAAGGCAGAACTGTTTATTCTCAACAAGACATACCATGAAGACCCCACTATATTATCTACAGAGTATAAAAACTCAGAAAACGGATGTTTGCATGTATCCAGACACAAGTGGGGAAAAAAAAAAAAAAGACAGACAGAATCTGGGTATGATCCTACATCACTTTGCAGTCCTGGAAAATAACACAGACCCCAGAAGACCAGGTTAAATCTTACTTTTAAGTATAAGCTAAGAAACTTTTTCAAAATTTGTAATGCTGCCCTCTACCCCAGCAAAAACATTTGTGCTTTGCGTGTTGGAGCCCGTGCAGCCATCCTTCAGACTTCCACATTCCTCAGCACGCAGCAACAGTTTATCCACAAACTGCCCCAAAACCTGTAGTGACCAGACAGAGGAGTCTGCCAAAACCATCTGAACACTGTTTTACTTTAGCCAGGAAAGAGTCCCAGTTTATCCAAAAGTCACCAATGCAATTTCTTCCCGTCATCCCTTACAGGAACACCAGCTTCAGGAGTAACATCGACAGGCTGGAGAGGTGCAGCACAGGCAATCAGACTAGGAAACCTCCTGAACTTTACAGAACACAATTGAAATAAGAACAGGAAAACCATACAAGAGCGTGCATTTGCTTAAGTGCCAGATTTCCTACAATAAGGGGGGGGGAGGGTTTGTTTGTTTTGTTTTTTGGTAAAATCAGCCATATTCACATCAACCAATAAAGTACCAATAGAAACAAAACAAAAAAGGATAGGTGGGGACTGCCACCTGCATCTTTACATTTGAGTACCTACATAAAACATCTGTGATCTCAGGATTTACAGATTTCTTTTACCAGCTCGTACCATCACCACAAAGTTATTTCAGAATTATTTTTAACACTTTACAACATGTTTCAGAAATGGAAGCCTTAGAAAAACAAAGCTCTCCCTTTATTTATATTGCACCTTTTTCACAGATAGCTACACAGCAGAAATTCTTTCTGCTGCAAAATGCTACATCAGAAAAAATGTGGCTTAGAACACATTAGAAAGAAAAGGTCTTGAGTTTCAGGTATCAGCATGAGCTGACCCAAAATCACCAACACCAGCTTTACAAATCACCGCACTCCTAAGTATTGCCTCCATTTTATTTAGTATTTAGGTATTTCAGAAAAATGAGCTTTTTACCAAATGAAAAAGATGCTCTAATCACTATTGGGTACTACAATTGAGTCTGAAGGGGAACTATTTTCAAGAGATCTTCAAAGAGCACCAAATACTCTTAAGAGCTATGGACAAAAAACCCACACGTAGTGGGGAGAAACTGGTTTCTTTCACACTGGTATCTCTAGAACCACCCAGGACTGTTTTGGGAAGAATTGTCCAGTTTTGTGATGTATTTACACGTACATTATAAATGCACAATGGAAATCAAAACATTTCTAAGGATACCAGTGATAGTGTCCTAACACTAATTATGGCATCCAAATCACGCTAGTTCTAGTCTTAAGTAAACATCGGGTAATGTATCACACCCATACAGCAAAACAATAATCTGATTTCTCCCAAGTGGCCATTACCACTAATGTATGGCACTCCCGAAATGTCCTGCAAGTAAAAAAAAAAAAAACAAAAAACCAAACCCCTTCACTTTGATTTAATAACAGGGTCATTATACACGATTGTCTAGATATGCCCTTTTTATTCCAGTGTTTCCATACTTTCTACAGACCTATGTACACAGTTAAATACGTCATTAATTTACAAACCATGTTAAAACAAATGTTTCACTTTGCCAAACAAGATCTTGCAGGTGTCCAAGATCAAAATATATATTACAAGAATATCAGAAACTTCCTTTACCTGAATGTGGGCAATATTGCTTAAGGACTTAGATTCAGGTATTCAGCAAAACCACCCATTGTAACTGATTCGCTTAACCGTTTTAATTATGTATTCTATTGTACAAAGTTATCCCCATTGACCACAGACCTGAACTAGAAGAGCACGAATGTGGTCAGGCAGTCTCTGGGGAAGAAGCCCAGGCCTCACTCTCTGGGTCCTAAATGGGATATCCTATTTTGAGTCAGTCCCCTTCTGCTCTGCGCTAAGGACAACAGCTTTTGTTTTGGAGATACGGTGAGGCTACGAGCCCAAACTGCACCGGAGCAAGGCATTTTCAACAGAAAGCCCTCACCTGCTGCTGTACTCTTGACAGAAGAAGCGGAGTCAAAGACCTGCCACGGTTAAGCGTGCAGTGCCAGCTTTCTCAGAAAGGAGTCACAACAAGATCAGGCTCCGTCCCTTGGAAAATTAGCCATCTATATATATTTAACCAAGCCTCTGCTCTGTGAATAAGGTGCGTGGAGCTTTATTCACCTTCTAAGGAAAAGCTCAAGTTGTACACAGCTGTTACAGTGGTAAACATACCAGAAAAAGTTCAGATTAAGTCATAGTACTTCTGCAAATCCCTATGGCCCCCACTGCTACTGTTTACTGGTATTTCACCCACTTTGAGGTAGGGAAGAATCACCCTCCCACCCCCATTTCCCAAACAGGAAACTGAGGCACAAACAACAAGATCAAGCATTTGCAGGAGTCTAACAGGTTACACCTAGCTCCCTTTGAAAGCAGTTGGACACCTTACTTCAGCCCCTCTTAAAAAAAATCAGCCTAAATGTCTCAGCCTAAAGTCAAAAGTCTTTTGCAGAGCCAGAATCTAGTCCAAATCCCGAGTCCACAAGATCCTTTTTACATTTATGCAACAGCACTTAAGTATTGGGAAGCAAGCCTTAGAAATACAAATTTTGCGCCTTCCCACACAATCTTTTTTCTTGTTAATCAGGTTGGGGAATAATTTATTCAGATTTTCTAAGCTAAAAGCCCAAGTTCTATGCCAGCATGAACAGATTCAACACCAGGGAAGCCACGGAAGTTCTGCTCACAAACATTAGCAGCTTATTTAACCCATCTCTAAAGTTTCAGAAGGACTGTTTCCTCTTTTGGACTGTACCACGGAAGGCAGTCTACAGAACTACCTCCATAGACAACCAAAAGAGTGAGATCAGGTTGACTTTGTACTTAAAAATAAATTCTTTAGTATCCAGAAAGGAGTCAAATCATCATTTCACTTCAAAGAAACAGTCATGTTTAAAGCATTAAATAAGTAGAGGGAGTGTTTTGTACAGCACCATACCCTAAATTTTGTTACCAGTATCTAATACCTTTCTAGTAAAAACTTAATACCTATGCTATCAAAATCTTGCTATACAACAGCTTTTCTGTTAAGGAAAGAAGGACCCTAAAATCTTCTTTGCTAAGGAGCAGTAATCTGGTTCAGCAAAACCAAAGTTCAACTGGTTTCATTCCTTTCCTGCACAAATGCAGTATCTGACACACAACAGTTGACTCGTCTAGAATTAAGTACCTTCATTGACGCTAACTGAATCAGTACTTATTACTCATAAATTATATATTTACTGCTAATTCAAAATATTTTTTCTTAATAATTTACTATCAAGCTAGGGGAGTTGCAGAAAGAGAAGGATATAAAATTTAGCTTCCTTCAGCTGAAAGTAGAAGTCAGGCCAAATGCACACAGCAGCTCCAACAGTGCTGATTAAGAAAGTTATAAAAACAATCAGGGACTGAAAAGATAGACTTAAGAAACAATTAAAAATGATGATTATTCAAAGCCATGCATTCATAAAATATCAGTCAAATAAAGGAGCATAGTTTGTGCATAAAACTGAGAAGAAAACACCTTAAAACTTTGAATTTTTAAGCCAACACAAGAGTTTTGTAAGAACAGGTGTAAAGCAAGTAAAAAAAAAAAATCATATTGTTCCAAACACTTTATTTGTCAAGGTGTTTTCTGTATTGCCAGGGAAGAGCAATGTCTGAAGTTACAGGACGACATTGTTTAGAAAACAATGATGATCTTAAGCTCTGTTTTGTTACCTACAGCAACTGGAAAAACAATGATTTTAGAAAAAAATGGTTCTCTATGCCTGAAAAAAGATTCTTGAAGGGATCAATTTTTCTACTGTCTACTCTTTCAGAAACATTCCTGGTTTGTCATCAAAAACTGAAGGTATAGGCACAGAGGTAATTAATACCCACACGAAGTTTCATATTTGCTCAAGATGAATTCAAGTCTGCCTGTCCGCAACTGATAAACAGAAGTCATTTCTCCTCGAACTGACAGCCCCTGATAACCAGAAGTGCACATAATTTCACTTTTTCTGAAAATTTCATCAAAATATCATTAAAATACACATTAGAGAACAAATTAAAGGTGATGTTATTAGCATGGAAACAAAGTACTGGCCACGGTTTAGCTGCCAAAACAATAATCCATTGACAGACTCCAAAAAAGGAGCAGTGACAGCAGATATTTTACACTGAAGTTTTCTATCTGCATTTCACCACAATCTCTGTAAAAGAGCTACACTGTGCATTTAGTTCCAGTGTCAGATCTAACTATTTCAGGTGTAAAGATCTGCTTAGCAGAAGTCAAAGGTCTGTACCACTTTCACTACACATGCATCTTCCCTTCTGCAAAACCTGTACAATAAAATGGCTTACATTCACGGATGTACTAAAAGTTTCTGATGATGCTGGGGACACTTTGATATCACAGTCTATACCTGCTTGCCAGGATTCTATATATCAAAACGATTTAAATTGTAGGTAGTCGGATAGTTTTGCCGATTATACTGGAAGTGGTCTGTTAAGATATTGGCTCGACCATACTGATAGTCTCCATGTTGTGCAAATGCCGAAAGTCCATTCTGAGACTTCTCAGGGGTGTTTCGATGCCGGTCCAAATTCACGAGGTCTCCAGTTGTAACTGGAAGTAACTGCTTCTTTGCCTCTTGATTTGCATCATATTTTGTCTGGGAAAGAAAGAAAGAATGTTTTTCTTGGATTACCAGCTAGCATATTCATATACCTAGAAAGAACACGCACTTTTACAATTACACCACAATCTACGCTTGTCAAAATCTTAAAGTACTTGTGACTCACAGTAACACTATCAAATCCTCTGATATGCCAAATCAGTAAGTCCTTGTTTTGCTCAAGAGAGTTGAGCATTTACTGCCCAGTCTTAATTTCTCAACGAAATATTAAGAACAAAAAGGAAGTTCACTAGAGATCTAACAACTGGCCTGGCCCGAGCACCTGAGCACTCAGCTAAGTACTTAGCTTAGGTGATACATATACCCTCCTCTGCAAGGAAGTTTTATGCCACACATTCTCCGTTTTTATTCTGGTAATTGTCAGCTGGTTTTAGAAGAAATAACTCAAAGTTACTAAACATTAGCAGTGCATGAAAACTACTGTTCCAGGTGGGTTTCCTGAAAAACAAAACAAATCACCAAACCCACCACTTACCTTGTTATATAAGAATACCCCTAAGATAGCCGTCATCATTCCAAGGACATTGGTGCTAGTAACTGGATTGCGAAGCATTATAAGGGAAACTGTGATGACCATGATCCTTTTTGTGGCGTTTGCAACAGAGTAACTCAACGGGCTGATCAGATTAAGAATACTGAAGGCAATGACATTCTGGGCAAAATTACAGAATCCACTGATTATAAGCAGCATTAAGGTCCAGGACCAGTGAGACATTGTGCTCTGTCATAAAGACAAACATCACAAGAAAAAAAGTTTATCTCAGGTTTCAGATAAGAGACAAAGAAACTTTCATACAGCAACACGGATCTAACATGAGTCACTTCTTGCCTGCTTTTTGATAGGAAGAGCATCTGCAATATGTCTAGAGTTAAGAGGCTCAATGTTACATTGTGCAACTACTGATTATGAGAAAATATCTCTCTACACACTCGTAATGTGCATTGTACCATGCTATAAGTTATTCCAAATAACTTGGAATAACTTTTCAGAGCTCCTGTCTCCAGTTGCTAATTTCTGCGACTCGTGCTGCCACGTGAACTAAGTCTCCTAACTCGCACATGAACTTATGATAAACGCTACGCTCTCTTTTTTATATTATTTTGTGAAACAGTTCTTAGATGTTTCACAACAGTTCCTTCCGTGCTGACAAGGAACTACATTGAAATGCACTTTTCTGGTTTGGCTTTTTTTTTTTTTTTTTGTAATAGAGGCGATTCCCAATTACATTTGCCAAAGACTTACCAAGTCATTTTCTACTAGGAAGGAGGAAAGATCTACCAAAACCCACGTTGGGATCATGAAGAACACAGCATGGCATCCAAGTATGTTCAGCAACCGAAGATGATGTATTCGGGAATCTCTTAATACCTGATGAAAAACATCATAAAACACCCTTTTTTCGATTACTGCCCGCATATCACCAGAGATTCAGGAACCATGTAACAATAACGATTTCAGACAACAGACAGATGCACTATGAAAATAAACAAATAGTGTTGCAGTGTGAATTTCCTATAAAGATGTCTATTTGAAAAATAGTGATTTCTTGACCGTAACACACTCGGCATTAACAAGGTAATAATACGTTTACAGCGCTCTACAAATCAGAAATCATTTTATAACTCAATGCATTCAAGACACACATTTTAACTTTGCCTTTTTGTTCCTAAGACTTCAAGTAGTGTCCCGTATTGACACTGACTCATTCACTTCAAAGAAAGGATCTGATATAGCAAGATATGTAGAAACTTTCAAACGAATTGTTAAACTTAAGCACTATCTGTCAGCAGAAGCAAAAAAAAAAATCCAAGGAGTAAAGAAAATGCTCAGGATAAGCTCCGAGTTCTGGCCAATGTTCAGTATAATGCATCGAGCTGTAGAAAACAAGTAATCAAAACAGCCAAACATTATTTTGAGATTCTTTAACTATAAAGCACCACCTTAAAAAAAAAAACATCTGTACTAGAAAATGCATATTAGCCCTCTGAAGGATGATGTTACTGACCAATAATAAGAATAGCAGAGCTATTACCTTCTTTGAGAAGATGTTCTGGAGTGAAAAACAAAGCGTAGCAGCAAGTGCACTGATGAGCCCCCACATGTCAAAAGAAAGTTCAGTGACTGTGGCCAATAGGACACCGCTTATGATGGGGATTAGAGACAAGTATACCTGAAAGGGAAGCAGAGAAAAAGAGCTGACGTCTAAGCGATTTCATTTCAACTGAGTTCACGTGTACTGCTGATTTGCGGGGATGAAGAGGGAAGAATACAGCAACGGAACCAGGGATCAACTTTCACACTGCTACAGCTCGAGGAAACAAAACTACTACAATAGAGACCGGAACAATCTAAGCATAAGCAGGAGATCATCACCTCGCTCGCTGTGTTTAGATAGGTTTTCTTTACATTCGCAGTAACAGGAAAAGGAACACGTAAAAGCTACGCAATCCTGTAATTTACACCACAAAATCTGCCCAAGTGACCGAAAGCAGAGCTTTCCTCACGCCAGCCAGCAAAGCACAACACAGACCCCAGGAAGAGAAGAAACCATCAGCAAACCTGTCCGCACCTTCGTCGTCTGCTTCTCCTTCATTATGATTCTTGACAGAAGAACCACCCATATCGGCATCGTCGCTTTTACTGGGAACGGGAAGAAAGTTTCAGTGAGGACCCGACGATGAGCCCGGTTACGTTAAACGCTACGGGCAGCCATGGTAGGGGGGGACATCCCACCAGGTCAGGTCCGAATCAGGTCCAGTCTCAGCAGAGCCACAACCTCGGCCCACACTGGGTCACCCCCCCCAACCCCCGGCCCGGGG